CGCCCCGCCCGGGCTCCCCCCCCTACTCACAGCCTGGCTGTCCTCTCTGAGCGGCAGGCCGCGTACCGCTGCACCTGGGCCTGGTTCACCCCATACATGGACAGCCACACCAGCGTGCCCCCCACCACTAACGTCCAGAACGAATAGCGGCTGCGAGGATCGGGGTCGAAGCTGGGGGCGGGGGGAGGGCAGTGAGACATGAGGCGTTCACAGGGACCTGCCCCTCCCACCCAGCTCCAGGCGGCCATTCTGGCCCCGTAGGTACGTAGGGGATATTTGGAGTGGGTTCCCAGGTGTGTGTAGGAGGTTCACAGCTTGAACTCCTCCTGCTTTTCTTTCTCTTTCCTGTTCTGGTCCTGTCACTGGAATTTGGGACTTGGACGCTGTCCCTGAACTGTTTCACGCAGGACTAGAGCCCAAGCCACAGCCTCACTTCTTGCTTTACATTCTGGTGGTTCCTTGGAGATCAGTCTCCTGGACTTTCCTGCCCCGGCTGGCTTTGAACCGCGATCCTCAGCTCTCAGCCTCCTGAGTCGCTGGGATGACCGGCGTGAGCCTTGGCGCCCGGCGGGACATGCAACGCTGCCAGTCCGCGTGGTTTAGAGCCATCAGCGACCCCTGGCTGGGGGCGGGGCGGGAGCGGCCCCCCACGCACTCCAGCAGGTTGATCCCCCCACGCACTCCAGCAGGTTGATCCCCCCACGCACTCCAGCAGGTTGATCCGGGCGTGGGTCCGCGCCAGCTGCAGCACGCGCCGCGGCCCGCCCAGCAGCACGGCGCCACGGGCCAGCACCACCCAGAACCCGCTCAGCATCACGACCACTTGGAACACATCCGTCCATACCACAGCCTTCATGCCGCCCTGCGGGTCAGGACAGAGCACGGTCGGCCCGGCCCTGGCTACCCAGTCACCTGCCTGTTTCCGCTTCAGAGGAACAGGTGGTAGCCAGGAGGCCGCCAGGACTAATGCCCCCCTCCCCACCCGGGGGTGCGGGCGGAGCATGCGCAGGGGCTGCACCGCGGCCAAGGCCAGGGGTGGTACCGTGGAGAAGCCCCGCCCCTCAAGCCATGGGGAGGCTGACCCCGCCCCCTCCCTAGGTCTGTCTTGGAGGTTGACCACGCCCCTTCCTGCCTTCCAGAGGCTGGCCACGCCCCCTAAAGGGACCAACCCCAGCAGGAAAGAAACCTGTGGATTAGCCACGCCCCTCCCACAGGACATTCCCAGAGCCTGGCCACGCCCCTTTTTAGCTATTGGGCAAGATGATCACGCTTCTGCCTCTGGAACAACCAATCAGTGCACCCCAGCCCCTGAAAGCTCCTGGAATGTTTGGCCTAGACTCTGGGAGGACAGGGAGCCTCTGCGTGGGGGGGGGGGGGCTGTGGCAGCCCTGCGTGGGAAGAGAACTGGCCCAGTGCACAGAACCCTTCGTGGGGGTGGCAGGCCACTCACGACTGTTGTGTAGAAGGTGCAGATGAACCCGGTGGACAGGAGGGACGCCCAGATGTCCAGCCCAGTCACTGTGCAGAAACATACGCCCCGGTTAGGCTGCAAGCTCGGCTCCCGTCTGAGACCCTCCTCTCACGGCCCTGCCTGAGTCCGGGCCTCCTCCCCACCCCTGCCCCAGTCGCTCACGGCCCGACCTTGGTTCAAGATGAGCGCTGGTGCGTACATCACGATGCCTGTGTAGAGAGTCTGCGGGAGCGGAACCATAAGGGGCGTGTCAGGGTGGGGCTAGGAGGGCGGGACAATGAGGATGAGGGCGTGTCGGGGGCGTGGCCAGGCCGCCTGAGGGCGTGGTCATGTAAATCAGGTTTGTGGCGGGGCCCGAGGACCAGGGTTCTGCCCTGGCCGGGGCGCTGGTCACTCACCGTGGCCACCAGGTACTGCACCGTCCCGCAGAGCCTCACCGGGCGGCTGAAGCGCAGCTCCAGATACTGCAAGAAGCAGCCGAGGGCTTGGCGGTCACCGCGGATGAGTCGCGGACTCTGGAGTCCCTCTTGGTTCCCGCCCGTCCCGCAAACCCTTCCTCCCTCCCGGCATGGTCCGCGGGGCTCCGCATCCAGGTGTCCCGCGGAGTTGGCGCCTTGGGGAAAGACCCCGGCCTGCCTTTGGGGGTCCCCTAGCAGTGGGCGGCGAGGCGGGGGGACGCGCCCGGCCCCGACGCCCGGCTCCTCCGAGGCGCCGCCGCGGGGCCGCCGCGCCCTTCCTCCTTCCGTCCGTCCGGTCCCCGGCTCCCCGTCCCCCGGCTCCCCGCCGCCCCGCTTCCACGCCCCCGCCGCCCCGCCCCCCACCGCCCCGGTCTCCGGCCCCCAGCCTCCCCGCTTTCCCGGGCCTCGCGCCACGGCCTCCCGCCCTCCCTCCGCCCTGGCCTCTCCACGCCCCCAGCTCCCCGCCGCCCCGATCCCCCGGTCCCTGCCGCCCCGGTCTCCGCCGCCCCGGTCCCCGGCCCATCGATCCCCCGCCGCCCCGGCCCCCGGCCCATCGATCCCCCGGTCCCTCCCCGGCCCCGGTCCCCGGTCCCCGCCGCCCAGGGCCCTCGGTCCCCTGGCCTCTGCCGCCCCAGCCCCCGACGTCCCGGTCCCCGCCACCCCGGTTCCCGGCCCCCGGCCCCTCGGTCTCCCGGCCTCCGCCTCCCCGGTCCCCGCCACCCCGGTTCCCGGTACCGATCCCGCCGGTCCCCGCCGCCCCGGCCCCGGGCCCCTCGGGACCCCGCCGCCCCGGCCCCCGGACCTGGTAGGTGCTGGTGAGCCCCAGGCGGTAGAAAAGCGGCAGGAAGAGCGCGGCGGTGAGCGCCGAGCTGAGCAGCTGGCCCAGGCTCATCCACAGGAACTTGAGGCCGAAGCGCGCGGCCTCGGCCGGCACGCCGAGCACCTGCACGGCCGACATGAAGCTGGCGGCCAGCGACAGCCCCACGGGCGCGGCCGCCAGCCGCCGGCCGCCGGTGAAGAAGTCGTCGGCGCTGCGCGGCCCGCCGCGCGCCAGCCCCGCGCGCAGCCCCGCGCCCGCGCCCGCCAGCAGCAGCAGCGCGAACACGCCGTAGTCCCAGGCCCCGAAGGCGGCGCCCGCGCGCGCCCCGACGGCCGCCATCGCGGGCCCCGCGCCCCGCGCCGCGCGCTGCCCTTTAAGGACCGCGGGGTCGGCGCCGCTCCGCCCCGTGGGCGCCCGGGGGAGGGCGGCGCGCGGCGGGGCGGGGCCGGCTCCGCGAGGGGAAACTGAGGCCGGGCGCCGACGCCGCTCCGGCCGCTCGCGTCCCCCGCCCCGGGGCTCAGCGCGGGGGACCCCAGCCCGGGCTTCCCGCTCCGGTCGGGAGCGGGACACTTGCGTGTCTCCGGGACTGAGCGCCGGGGGGAGGGGACCGGGACCCCAGGTCTGCGCTAGGGCGGTCGGCCGCGCCCCTTCTGTGAGGCCGGGCCCGGGCTGGGGTCGGGGCCCGCCGCCGCCGCCCCTCCCACAGCGCTGCCGTCCCGGGCGGAAGAGCGAGGTCGTGAACTCCAACCCCGGCCTGCGCCGCTCAGAGCCGGCCTGGCTGGGGGTCGGGCGCCCCGCGGTCAGCCGCACACACGCCCCTGGTGGCCAGACACAGCCCCCTCCGCGCTCCTCCCTGGGACGGGCCGGACGGGTCTCCGGCGGCACCAAGGCCACCCACGAACTCCAGCCAGGGGGACCAAGCAGCCCACCCCACGGGTGCCCAGGGGACCGCGGCAGCCTCAGAGAACTAGGCCTACACGAGGGGTGGGGGCAGGGCAGGAACCCACTCCTGCTCCCCAGGAGGCTGGAGCCGGAGCCTGCAGGGTGCTGGGTGGGATAGCCCCGGAAGACCCAGGGCAATCTGGTTCTGTGGGCGGGAAGCCAGGGCTGGCTCTGATCTGATGCCCACTTTGCTGTGTCCCAGCCGAGGGCCCTTGCTGGCTAGTACAGGTTCCTCCTCAGGGAGGCCCAGGCGGGGAGGACAGGGCTGGCAGTGGCTCCCTGGGTGTGTCGTCTGGGTGGCTGGGGGCCAGGCCCTTCTGGAGGGCTCAAGGACACTCCAGGGGCTCTAACCCTGGGTCTCAGTTAGCCAGCTTCCCTCACCACTGCCACAACTCCCGCACCGGCCACCGGCCAGTTCCTGGCAATGGCAGAACCAATGCCAGGACCTGAGGCCAGCACTGAAGGTGGAAGCTCTTGCCAGGATGGTGAAACCAGGAAGCTTCCCTAAGGAAGGCCCACACCGGGCCACTTACCAGAAACCAGACTGGTCACAGAGCCCTAAGGCCAGCATCAGTGCCCACCAGTCCACAGAAGGGACAGGAAGAGGACCTTTGACCCAGCAAAGAAACGTTCGGAAAGAAAAGCTAGCCTTGGCGTTAGGCCGGAAAACACCTGGGGCCAGAAGGCAATCAGCCTGGCTGGACCCCTGGTGTGGGCAGGATTATCTTCATGCCTGGAATTCCCAGACGCGCTGCAGTTCCCTGGAGACCAGGCTTGGGAACAGTAGGGAGTCGTGGTGGTGGTTTGTGGAGGGCAAGACAGCCTGTTTATGTGAGCCAGGGTTCTGGAAGGAGGCCTTCTCAGGCCGCCCCCAGCTGTGGGGAGTAGAAAAACAGCAGAGGCGGAGGCAGGTTCTGAAAGTTTATTGGACAGCGCCGGCCTAGAAGAAGGTGTTGGGCCTCTTGGTGGTGAAGCGAGGCTTGTGCTGGCGCCGCAGGACACGGTGGGGCAGTGGAAACTTGATCTTGGAGTCCTGGGAGGAAGAGAGCGGGTGAGGGGCCTGGCCTGTCCCCTGGGTCAGCCAGCTGTGACGGCCCCCGTGGACGCCTGCGTCAGTCCCCCACCCCAGGCACTCACGTGGAACTGCTTCACGGCAGGCCGGCGACACTTGCTGGCTGCGATCTCCTCCACCTTCATGATCTGGATGGAGTGTGCACGGGCGCGGTGCCGGGCACCCATGTCGCGGTCTGTGGGAAGAGGGCGTCAGGCCCGGCAGCCCTGTGGGCTGTGCCCAACTGGCCTGGTCGTGGGGTGTAGGGCTTCAACATTCACTCCGAGGGGCACAGCACAGCCCCCAAAGGCGACGAGGCCCCCTTGCTGTGCGCACCTCGGTTTAAACTGCGGCTACCACAAGCAGCAGCTCTTGGGTTTGGGTGCGAGGAGGGGGAGCGTTGAACTCCCCAAAGCCCTGCGGGAGGGTGCGGGATGGACTGGGGACTCACAGCACTGGGTGACGGCGCCCGCAGTGGTCAGGTCCCGGTACTCCCGGTACATGTTGTGTGTGCCGCTGCGGGAATCATAGCGCAGCCAGATACCAAAGTTCTTCACGCGCAGTGGCGTCTTCTCGAACACCTGTGGCGAAGGAGAGAGTAAGAGGGGTGAGGTGAGGCAGGCAGTGCACGGCCCCTTCCCAACCTTGCATGCCCGTACCTGACCGCAATACACGATCTCCCCAGAGGACTTTTTCATCTTCTTGAGCTGTGACACGAAGTACCAGAAACGGGACTTGGCCACCACGTGGTTGGGGGCGAAAATGCGCATCCTGTACAGGGGTGGCGTGTGGCACTTGGGGGTGGGCAGGCAGCGGCCCACCACCTTGTACTCCCGTAGCTGAAAGGAGAGACTCCATGTTGAGCTGGAACCGATGCTCCCGATCAGACACCGGACAGGCCGGCATGCAGGCTTCGCAGGGGCCCGGGCGCTGTGCCCCGACGGCCCACTGTGGGGGGACACGGGGCGGGCTGGCCACCCGCATTCCTCTGGAAGGTTCCCGAGTGGAGCCGGGGTCCTTGGGGCGAGCACTCAGCCCCATCCCGAGTCCGCCCGAGCCCGGCAGCGGCGCCGTGAGCTTGGGAGGGCCAAGGCCTGCGCCCCCGCGCCGAGCCCCGCCGGGAGCCCGGAGCAGCGACCGGCGGGACGCCCGGGGCGGGCGCGGGGCCTCGCACCGTTCCCGGGGGGACACGGCGGCTGCCGGGCGGCAGGCGGGCCGGGCCCCGGGCTGCCGTGACGGCGCCTGCCGGCGTCGGCCCCCCGCGAGGCCGCGGCTCGGCGCTCCACGCGGCGGCCGCCATGTTGGCCGCGCCGAGGCGGGGCGGCTGCCGAGCGAAGGCCGCGAGCGGAGCTCACGCCGCCGGCCGGCGCCAGGCCGCCCCCCGCCCGGCCCCCTCCCACGCCCCAGCCCCGCCGCGCCCGGCTCACCGTGCCCGAGGCCTTCATGGCGTCCTCTCCGCGCTCCCGGCCACCCACAAAAGGAAGTGGCCTCTTCCGCGCAGCCGTTCACCAGCAGCTCGCGGGCGGAAGTCCCGCCCTCCCCGCCCGCTCGCCCATTGGCGTTCTAGATCAGCATTCAAAGAAGACTTTTTCTTTATTGGTTCCGGGTCCGCCCACTCTCACAGCGCCTCCCTTCGCGGCGAAACGACATCTCCCAAGAGGCAATGCGGAGGACGCACTAGTTCCTCCTGGGCCATGGAAGGGCGCCAGGCGCGAGGCACGTCGGGAGTTGTAGTCGCCCCGCTTATGTGCCGATCCCCCGAGAGCCTCCCTGAGATGTTTAAGGCACCAGACGCTGGGTGGCTGCCGTACTCGACTCTGTCTTTTTTCTTTTGTCGGTTGTGGGTCTTGAACTCTGGGCCTGGGCGCTGTCCCTCATCTCTTCAGCTCAAGGCGAGTGCTCTAGACACTTGAGCCACAGCGCCACTTCCGGTCTTCTGGTGGTTTATTGGAGATCAGAGTTTCATGGACTTTCCTGCCTGGGCCGGCTTTGAACCGCGACCCTCAGATCTCAGCCTCCTGAATAGCTAGGATGACAGGCGGGCGCCCGGCACTCGCTTGTATCTTGCTGCCTTCTCGCCACGCGCTCGTGATGAAGCTGCTGGCTGTGGGAGTGCGCGCTGGGGCCTCGAGCCGCACACTACGGCTCCTGTCTGCAAATCGAGCCGAGCCCACCCGCCAGCTTCCGGTCCCCGGGGAGCCTGGGGGCGGGGCCGGCGATGATTGACACCCCTTCAGCTGTCGGCTGACGGAGCATGCGCGCCAGGATCCCGCCTGCGGGATGGTGATAATTGGTGATCTTGAAATAATGAGCCGCAGAGCCGGGCGCTGGTGGCTCCCGCCTGTCATCCCAGCTACTCAGGCGGCAGACGATGGCGGTTCGCAGCCAGCACGGGCAAGAAAAGAAGAAAAGTCCCCGTGAGACTCTTAACCGCAATAAACCACCAGAAAGCCGGAAGTGGCGCTGTGGCTCCAGCGGTGGAGCCATTCTTGGGCCGAAGAGCTGAGGGACGGCCCAGGCCCAGGGTTCAAGCCCCACGACCGACAATAAGTAAACACATAAATAAATAAATGTTATAATGGCTAGATTGGCTTGCACTCTGCCGGGGAGGCGGCGGCCAGAGGCCCCCGGGTCAGGGCCGGCCGGCTGCACACCGACCTTGCCTCCGCTTCCCAGACGTCAGTGACCAGCTGGGCCTCTCACCAGTCCTCTTAACTTCCACGGGCCGGGCCCCGCCTGAATGCCGGGCCTGGCCGCTGCCCTGAGCTTGTTCACGCAAAGTGGGCACTCTACCACTTGAGCAACTGCTCCACTGCCAGGTTTCTGCTGGTTTATTGGAGGCCAGTCTCACGGCGTTTCCTGCCCCAGTTGGCTTTGAACTGCAGCCTCAGGAGTAGCTGGGATTTGGGATTACCGGCATGAGCTGTTGATAGACCTTTGAAATCTCAATTTATTTCAGTTATTTATTTTTGTTGATGGTGGGGCTTGAACTCTGGGCCTGGGCGCTGTCCCTCAGCTCTTCAGCGCTCTACCACTGGAGCCACAGCGCCACTTCTGACTTCTATGTCTGTGGTATTGAGGACTCGAAGCCAGGGCTTCCTGCAGGTGAGGCCAGCACTTTCCCACGGAGCTGCCTTCCTGGTGTCCATGGGCCTGGGCCCTGAGGGGACCGGGCTGTGGGTGGCTGTGTCCAATGGTGCCTGCCAGGGGTGAGGAAGCACTTTCCTTTGTCTTCCACCCAGAAGAGCAGCCTGGGCCTCGGTCCCGGGGCTTGACACCCAACCAAGTTTTCTTTGGCCTGTTTCCCCACAGTCAATGTGGGGGCAGGCTCGGCCCCAGCTTGCTCCCTATGCCTGAGCTCAAAGCTCCGTGCCTCAGTTTCCCCTACCTGGTAGCTGAGTGGATGGGAAGAGATTCTGAAAAATGCAGAGCAGAGTGGAGAGTGCAAGTTGATCCTGACAGGGCTAGGAGGGGACAGGGGGAAGGACGCGGGGAGCCCTTGGGACTGAATGGACAGGGGCAGGAGGCAGGGGACAGGCGGACATGAAGACATGAAGTAGGCTGGGCCTGGGTGGGGCCTGCAGCTGGGGCGGGTGGAGACCCTGTGGCGGCCAGTGGGGCCCTGTGTGGGTGAACATTCACTAGACACTGCTTCCTCCTGCAGCAGCCGCTCCCTGTCCTGGGGAACCAGCCCTACAGGCTGGGTCTGGCCGCTGCCCGGATTTCCAGCAGGCCCTGGCTGTCCCAGCTTGACCTTGGCGGCCAGCCTGTGTCCCATCTGCTCCCCCCACGCCACCCCCCTGGGCTGCCGCTGGCTCCCTGAACTCTGGCTTCCTTGTGGTTCCGGGCTGGGCTGCACCTGCCCAGCAGCCTCCAGGCACACATCACCTGCAGCCTGCAGGGCGGGCAGGCCCTCCCTGCCTGCAAGGCCAAAGCCACCAGGCCCTGCCTGCCTCTGCCTCTACTTACCCAGACCTTCCCAACAGGCTCACTTGCCTTCCCCCAGACAGCTAGCAGGGCTCCCGTGGCCGTGGAAGCTTGGGTCCCCGTCTGCTAAGGTGGGGCTGGCCCACATCTGCCGCCCCTCCTGTGGCAAGGACGGGGCACCCTCCTTCCCATGCCAGGGGCCACTCCTGGGTGCCCCTCCGTGACATGGCTCTGTGACTCCTTTGTCTGTCTTCCCACTGAGTTGTTTGCCTTTTGTATGTGAGTGCCAGTCCTGAGGTTTGAACTCAGGACCTGGACGCCGGCCTGAGCTTTTGTGCTCGAGGGGGGCGCTCTACCACGTGAGCTGCAGCTTGACTTCCGGCTTTTTGCTGTGTCACTGGAGACAAGAATCTCATGGTCGTTTCTGCCCGGGCTGGCTTTGAACCTCGATCCTCAGATCTCAGCCTCCTGAGCAGCTGGGATTGCAGGCCTGAGCGGCTGCTGGCTCTGAGCCCAGTATTTTCATTTTCATAATTTGTTTTCTTAAGACTAAGAAACCTCAGTTCTAGAAAATCTTAGCCTATATCAAGGTTACCAAGTGTTTCCCTCAGTGCTGTGTATTCTGTGAGCTTTCCACCTTTCGCTCAGTGGGCAGTGCCGCTGCACCGGCCTCAGTCCCTTGTCAGGGCTGTGGGTGGCCAGTCCGTCCCTCTCGGGGCCCTGGAGGCCTTTGGAACCCACAGCCAAGGGTGGGTGGCGGGAGCTTTCCTCTCCGCCACCTTGTGGCCCGGCCAGGCCCCCCTGTGGGCGGAGCCTGGGCCCCGGGTGGCAGCAGGAAGTGCCGGGGCCCAGCTGTGGGATTGGTTTATTTCCTCTCTCACTTCATGGGTCACCTCAGCCCGCAGCCCTGAGGAGCTCCCGGCCCGGGAGCATGCAGGGGTCGCTCAAGCCGGTCTGAGCAGGCCCCATGGGCTGGCAGATGAGTCTAGGGGTAGCAACAGGGCTGGGACACAGAAAGCCACTTCCATCCGTTTCCAGCTGCCTCCGGGGACTGGCCCCCCCAGCCGGCTGCGGCCACAGCCTTGGCCCAACAACGAGCACCCGCCAGCTCTCCCCGCACAAAGCCCCAACCCAGGACCATCTGCGTGGACCCTGCTGGACCCCTTGAGTCAAGAGACTCAACGTGTCCCTGACACCCCTCTCTCCCCCCCACCCCCCCGTGGGGTCAGCCCCATCTTCCAGCTCCCCGCCTCCCGGCCTGGCCTCCGCTCCAGCCCTGACCCTCACTTGTCCTTGGGTTGCAGTCCCAAGGCCACCTCCTCTGGGAAGCCCTTCCCCAAACTGGTCCTCATGCATGGTGGCCTAGGCCTTGACCCCTGGCCTGCACCCCACCAGCCCCCATGCATCCAGGGACAGGGGCAGCAGTTCAGCCACAGAGACCCGCCAACCCTGCAGGGGTGCACCCCCTCCCCGGGGAGCCCCGCCTACCCCCCCCCACACAGCCTGCTCTCCCACCCCAGCCTTTGTCTCCACTGTGCCCCACCAGCCACTGGTCCTGCTGCAAGTCCGCCCTCTCCTTGCCTGGCCTTTCTCTGCTGTCCCTCTGGCTGGGCCTCGGTTTCCCCCATCACAGCAGGCCAGACCTGCTTCCCAGGCTAGGAAAACTTCTCAAAGGGACCTTGAACTTCACTTGGGCACAGCTCCCTTCCTTAGTGGCAGAATTCACACCATGCTGTCCACATGTGGGCACACTGAGGCCCAGAGTGCTGTCCCAGCCCGTGCGGGGTCGCCCGCAGCGGGGCTGGAGGCCCCCACAGAGGCCCCAGAAGGCTCAGCCCCTCCCGGGCCTGCCTGCCTGTGACTTCCGGGCTGACAGCGGCTCAGGAAGCCTGGGCCGCACAGGAAGAGCCAGGGACTTCCCACCGCCGCCTGGTCTTCCTGCCCCCCATCACTGCGCCCACCCGCCAGGTAAGAGCAGGACTGGGCTGGGGCCAGGCGGGGCTGGCTGGTGGGATTAGCCGCGGGGTTGGCCAGGGGTCCTGCAAGAGCCACGGCCACAGGGCCTCCGAGGCCCACCCGGAGGAGGCCTGACCATGTGGGGGGACTCCGGGTCCCACAGGGTGCCGCAGATCCGGTACCCCCATTCCCAGCCCAGCTGCTGTGCCCGCCGAGGGAGGGGCGCAGAGAAGCTCTCCAGCCACATAGGGCTGTGTGTGCATGCATGTGTGTGCGTGTGTTTGTGTGATTTTATATCTAATTTTTTGTTGGTTTTGGGGCTCAAACTCTGTGCCTGGGCGCTGTCCCTCCGCTCTTCAGCTCAAGGCGGGCACTCTACCACTTCAGCCACAGCACCACTTCCAGTTTTTTGGTGGTTCACTGGTGATAAGAGTCTCATGGGGGGCTGGGAAGGTGGCTCAGTGGTAGAGCGCTTGACTTGCATGCCTGAGGCCCTGGGTTCGATTCCTCAGCACCACATGAGCAAAATGAAAAAAGCCGGAAGTGGCGCTGTGGCCCAAGTGGTAGAGTGCTAGCCTTGAGCTGAAGAGCTGAGGGACAGCACCCAGGCCCAGAGTTCAGGCCCCATGACCGGACCAAAAAAAAAGAGTCTCATGGCCTTTCCTGCCTGGGCTGCCTTTGAACTGCGAGCCTCAGATCTCAGTCTCCTGAGTAGCTAGGACAATAGGCATGAGCCACCTGTGCCCAGCTCTTTGGGGGGTTTTAGAAACAGACATGTTTTAGGCTCCATTGCCCTTCCTATTTCTTTCCTCTTTTACTTTCAATAATAAAAAAGTAAAGTGCTTACAAGTTGCTCTAAATGCATTAACACCAAGCATCCATTTCTCTGAAGGGTGTCTGGTTTCTGGTTGAATGTGGTTGGGCACACCTGTAATACCAGCTCTGGGGATCGTAGGCAGGAGGGTTTGAGGCCTCCACAGGCTCAAACGTGTGAGCTCCTGTTAGAATAATGCAGAAGCAAAAGGGGGCAGGGCTCAAGTGGTGGGGCACAGACAAGCAAGAAAGAGGCCTTGAGTCCCAACCCCAGGCCTGCCAGATAAGGGAAGGCACCAGCAAGAAAAGGTCAGGGAGTGCGGGAGCTTGGCCCTGGGGTCCAGGCGGGCGTCAGCGAGCTCAGTTCAGGCTGTCCCAGGCTCACCCTGCCCCTCTGGGACCCCGCTTCCCCATGCCCCCCCTCCAGGCAGGGGACCCCAGCCTTGCAGGTTAGGAGTAGCCTTGGTGCCTGCTTTGGGGCCGGGCACCACACAGCCAGGAAAGCTCCGACGTGGACCTTACAGGCCTCAGAGTGGGGTTTGGGACTCAAACCCAGAGCCTGGGGCCCTTGCCCAGCCCTGTAAGAACAGAGTCCCCACTCTAGGGTAGGTGTTTTGTTTTGGGATGAGAACAGAATGAAGGGTGGGTGGGGAGGGCCCCCTACTGCCTGTCATCAGGACCCCAGTCCTGACAGAAGCATTTGCCACAGCCTCGGATCAGACGGACGCTCCCTGAGAACACCTTCCTGGGGCCCCAAAACAAGCCAGCACCCCCAGCTTGCTGCACCTCTACGATCCGCTGTACCTCTGCAATCGGCTGCTCCTGCCTGTTGGGTCACGGGCTGGGCCTGCTGGGGGAGACAAGAGGCTGCAGGTTGATTGGAGATGTCTGCCCTGGGTGCAGACAAGTACAGATGTCTCTGTGTTGCAGGTGGCTTGTCCTCATGGCGCCCCTGAGCGAGGAGACCCCCCTCATCTCCCAGCGCTCCTGCAGCCTATCTTCCTCAGAGGCCGGGGCCTTGGACGTGCTGCTCCCAGCTCTGGGCCCTGGGCCTCCTCAGCGCCTCTCCTTCTCCTTTGGGGAGCTATCTGCAGAGGAGTTGTGTGTGCAGGCTGCCAAGGCCAGCGGTGAGTGGGTTCCTGAAGGGATGGGCCAGAGGGAAGGGCAAGGCTGTGTGGGGCCCAGATGGAGAGCAGATAGTTACCTGTTGAAGTCAGCATCAGAATGGGGGGGGAGGGGGGAGGCTTTGAAGGATGAGTAGGAGTCTGGTGAGGGAGGACGGTGACACTGCAGCCTGGCTGAGGGGCGGATGGGGCACCCGAGGAGGGGCTGACGGGCTCACGTCCACAGGCATCCTGCCCGTGTATCACCCACTCTTTGCTCTGGCCACTGAGGACCTCTCCTACTGGTTCCCCCCAAGCCACATCTTCTCCGTGGAGGACGCGGGGACCCAAGTCTTGGTCTACAGGCTGCGGTAGGAAGCACCCTGAGTCCCCAGGGCTCGAACGGCCTCCTAGCCTCTCTCTGCAGGGCACTGCCAGAGAGGGTCCTTGAGCCCAGAGAGGGTCGGTCACTTGCCCAAGGCCACACGGCACACACAGTACCGGCTCCGCTGGGCATGCTGCCCGCCCTGTACCCCAGTTCCTGCTGGGGCCAGGGGTTCCTGACCGGGCTCTCCTCCCCTTCCCCGGCAGCTTCCATTTCCCCAACTGGTTCGGGCTGGAGAAATGCCACCGGTTTGGGCTGCGCAAGGACCTGGCTGGCGCCGTCTTCGACTTGCGGGTCCTGGAACACCTCTTCGCCCAGGTGCGGCTCGGCAGGTGGAGGGGGTCGGGGCGGGCCCGGGGCGGAGGGCGGGCGGGCGGCCCGGCGAGCCTGCGTCCGTCCCGTCCGTCCGCAGCACCGCGGGGACCTGGTGGCCGGGCGCCTGGCCGTCGGCCTGGGCCTCCGGGACCAGGGGGAGTGCCTCAGCCTGGCGGTGCTGGACCTGGCCCGGCTGTGCCGCGAGCGGGCGCAGCGGCCCCGGGAGCTGCTGAGGACGGTGAGGTGAGCGGCGGGGCCCGGGAGGGGCGCGGGCGGGACGCGGGGTGCGGGACCGGGGGCGGGACGCGGGGCCCGCGCCGCCCCACGCCCAGCGCCCCCGCGGTCGGTCCGCCCTCATCTCCCGCAGCTACAAGGCCTGCCTGCCGCCCGGCCTGCGCGGCCTCATCCAGGGCCTCAGCTTCGTCACCCGCAAGCGCATCCGCAGGACCGTGCGCCGCGCGCTGCGCCGCGTGGCCGCCAGCCAGGCCGACCGGCACTCGCTCCTGGCCAAGTACGTCATGGACCTGGAGCGGCTGGACCCGGCCCGGCACGCCGAGACCTTCCGCGTGGGGCTCCCGGGGCCCGCGGGGGACCAGGGCGCGCCGGGGCTGCTGCGCGTGGCCGGCGGCAGCGGCATCGCCTGGAGCGCGGGAGAGGCTGAGGTGCGGAGGGGCGGGGCCGCAGGAAGAGGGCGGCGCCAAGACGGGTGGGGCTCCAATGGGCGTGGAGGAGCTTCAAGAAATGGAGCGAGCGATTGGGCAGGACGATGTAGGGGCGGGACCCTATAGGGGGTGTATGATTGGAAGAAAGCAGTGATGTCCTTCATGGGAGGGATCATGGAGGGCCGGTTGAGAGCTGGGCTGCAGAAAGCTGAGGAGGAGCAGGAACAGAATAGGATTTACCCCGAAAGGGGCGGGGGCACTGGATGGTGGGCGGGCCTCCACAGACTAGGGGTGTCCAATAAGAAGACAGGACCAAGAGTGGACGGGGCGCACAGGTTCGGGACCTGCAGATGGGGCGTGGCCCTAGAGGGGCAGGACAGGAGAAAGCTGGGTGGTGAATGGGCTGGGCCAACGCTCATAAGGAGAGTGGGCGGGGCTCAGAGGAAGCCGAATGAGGGCGGGGCGGAGCAAGGGGGTGGGAACGAAAGTGGGTTGGGCAGCACCGAGGGTTGTTGGGCGGTGATGGGTCCTTCATGGGTGGGATCGTGAGGGGCCGGGGCTCAGGAGGTCCAGGAAGAAGGCAGAACAGGGAAGGGGAGGGTCTCTGGGAGGTGAGTGGCAGGACCTCCAGGGGCTGGGCCGGAGCCCCTCAGGCTGGACAGGGCCTGAAGAGGACTGGGGCGGTGTCGGGTGAGGACGGGAGCGGTGTGGGCGGGGCCTAGTGAGGATGGGCGTGGTACGGGCGGGGCTTGGTGAGAACGGGAGCGGTGTGGGTGGGGCTTGGTGAGAACGGGAGCGGTGTGGGCGGGGCCTGGTGAGGGCGGGAGTGGCGTGGGCGGGGCCTAGTAAGGATGGACGTGGTATGGGCGGGGCCTGGCGAGGACGGAAGCGGTGTGGGCGGGGCCTGGCGAGGATGGGCGTGGTATGGGCGGGGCCTGGTGAGGACGGGACAGGCGTGGGCGGGGCATGGTGAGGATGGGCGTGGTATGGGCGGGGCCGGGAGGGATGAGGGCGGTGGCTGAAGCGCGGGGTGGCGGGCCCAGCCGCGGGGCGCTGAGCGGGGGGACTCCAGCGCCGGCCCTGCCCTTCCCATCCCAGGACTTCCAGCCCTTCTGTGACTTTCCCGAGGTGGTGGACATCAGCGTGAAGCAGGCGCCCGGGGCGGGAGAGCACCGCCTGGTGACCCTCACCAGGACGGACAAGCAGATGCTGGTGGGTCGCGGGCCAGCCCTGGGACGGGCGCGGGGGCGCGGGCCGGGCCCTGACCGCGGCCCTGATGGCCCGCAGGAGGCCGAGTTCCCGGGGCTGCCCGAGGCGCTGTCCTTCGTGGCCCTGGTGGACGGCTACTTCCGCCTCACCTGCGACCCGCACCACTTCTTCTGCAAGGAGGCGGCGCCGCCGCGGCTGCTGGAGGAGGCGGCGTGGGGCTGCTGCGGGCCCATCACGTGAGCGCCCGGCGGGTGCGGAGCGAGACCCGGGAGGCCCCGCGGCCGGCCCCGACCCGCACGACAGCTCCGTCCCCGCCCTTCCGTCCCGCAGGCTGGACTTCGCCATCCACAAACTCAAGGCCGCGGGGGCCCTGCCCGGCTCCTTCGTCCTCCGCCGCAGCCCCCAGGACTTCCACAGCGTGCTGCTCACGGTCTGCGTGCAGGTCGGCCAGCGGCGCGGGGCTGCGGGCCGGGGAGGGGCCGGAGGGGGGCGGCGGAAGCGCAGTTCCCAGCACAGCCCGTGGGTCTGCGGGAGGGGGGGAAGAGCTCTGCCCCTCCCCCTCAGGACCCCGCCCTGCGCCCCTCCCCGCCCCGTGCCCCTCCCCCAACCCCTCCCCCTCAGGACCCCGCCCCGTGCCCTCCCCCTCAGAACCCCGCCACGTGCCCCTCCCCCAGCCCCTCCCCCTCAGGACCCCTCTGCCCTGCAGACTCCGCTGGGCCCCGCGTTCAAGGGCTGCCTGATCCGGCGGGACCGCTCCGGCGCCTTCTCCCTTGTCGGCCTGGGGCGGCCTCACAAGAACCTTCCAGACTTGGTGGCAGCGTGCAGGGACGGGGGGCTGCGGATAGACGGGGTCGCGCTGCGCCTCACCGCGTGCTGCACTCCTAGACCCAAAGGTGAGGCCCCGCCCCGCTGGAACAGAGCGCCTGGGGGAGGTGCCACGTCCCACGGGGGCGGGGCCTGCGGGTCCCCCACGGGGGCGGGGCCATGGCGTGCTGGTCCCCCACGGGGGCGGGGCCAGGGTCTGCGCGTTCCCCACGGGGGCGGGGCCTGCGGGTCCCCCACGGGGGCGGGGCCAGGGTCTGCGGGTCCCCCACGGGGGCGGGGGCAGGGTCTGCGCATTCCCCACGGGGGCGGGGCCATGGCCTGCGGGTCCCACACGGGGGCGGGGCCTGCGGGTCCCCCACGGGGGCGGGGCCAGGGTCTGCGCGTTCCCCACGGGGGCGGGGCCATGGCCTGCGGGTCCCCCACGGGGGCGGGGCCAGGGTCTGCGCGTTCCCACGGGGGCGGGGCCAGGGCCCGCGGTCTCCACAGGAGCGGCCCGCAGCTCCTGCGCCCACGTCGGTCTCCCACCTCCTCCCTCCTCTGTAGAGAAGTCCAACCTGGTGGTGGTGCGGGGCGGGTACGGCCTGGCCCCGCCGGCCTGCGCCGCACCCCGCGGCCCCCGCAAGCCGGGCCCCATGACCTTCCACACCATCCCGGCCCACAGCCTGCAGCGGGTAAGCCGCCGTCGCGGGACCGCTCCCCCGTGCTCCCCCCGGGAGGCCCCCCTCCCCCGCCCCGCCAACCGCTCACGACCGCCCCCCCCCCGCGCCAGCACGAGAACCTGGGCCACGGGTCCTTCACCAAGATCTACCGGGGCCTCCGCCACGAGGCCGTGGACGGGGAGGCCCGCGAGACCGAGGTGCTGCTGAAGGTGATGGACGCCACGCACAAGCACTGCATGGAGGTGAGGGCCGCGGGCGGCGCTGGGAGGGCGAGGAGCTGAGCAGAGGACCGGCAGAGGCGCGGTCGCCGCCCAGCACCAGGGCCACCGGAAGAGTGCGGGCCGTGCAAAGGTCCTGCGGCAGAGCAGGGCCCGCGTGATCAAGAAGTGTGAGGCCGGCTGGCCGGGGAGGGGTCGGCCAAGGCGGACACCCGGAGGCGTGGAGGAGACGTTGGCGGGGCCCAGCCCGGGGGGGAGGCGGCCGCTCGGACGTGAGTCCGGACTCCAGAGAGAGCTGAGGGCCGCTCTTTCCCCAAGCCCGGAGCTGGGAACCATCGGTGTCATCGTGCCTTCTTTTCCCGGCCCCGCAGTCCTTCCTGGAAGCTGCCAGCCTGATGAGCCAGGTCTCCTACCCGCATCTGGTGCTGCTGCACGGCGTGTGCATGGCTGGCGACAGTGAGGCCCCGCCCCCGCTGGGACCCCGCCCACCCAGCCTGGCAGCCACAGAGGCCCCTCCTTCACCCGTTACCCGAATCCCCGCCTACCACGCCACGCAAACCACCGAAGCCCCGCCCACCCCGTCACACAACCCACCGAGGCCCCGCCCATACCCCACCCTCCCAGCCCCGCCCACCATGTCACACAACCCACCGAGGCCCCGCCCACACCCACCGTCTCGGCCCCGCCCACCCACATCACACAACCCACCGAGGCCCCGCCCACACCCCACCGTCCCAGCGCCGCCCACCCACGTCACACAACCCACCGAGGCCCCGCCCATACCCCACCGTCCAGCCCCGCCCACCCACGTCACACAACCCACCGAGGCCCCGCCCATACCCCACCGTCCCAGCCCCGCCCACCCACATCACACAACCTACCGAGGCCCCGCCCATACCCCCACCGTCCCAGCCCCGCCCACCCACGTCACACAACCCACCGAGGCCCCGCCCTGAGGCACCGCCTCAATTCAACGCCTTCCGGGGCCCCGCCCACAATGCACAGCTCGAGGCCCCGCCTGGGAAGCCCCGCCCAGCCACCACAGCCTGCTTCACCCGCGTTGCTTAACGCTGCTCGCCCTCACCCCCACCCCACGCGTGGCATCCCGGCCTCCCAGCCCTCCACCCCGGGCGGGGCAGCTCCAGGGTCCCCCTTGGTGTCCAAGCCTAGAATGTTTTCAAGCTGCACAGACCCTGGTTTCTGACTCCCTTTACTGTGCAGCTTTTTGGGAATGCGTACCTTCTCTGAACGCCAGTTCGTTGATTCCCATCAGCAGCTGTTTATCGGGGAGCTGGGGGGGGGGGGCGCAGCTCCTGGAGCGCAGCTCGGTCCCCCCCCCAGGCACCATGGTACAGGAATTTGTCCCCCTGGGAGCCGTGGACACGTACCTGCTCAAGCGTGGCCAGCAGGTGCCGGCCAGCTGGAAGCTGCAGGTCATCAAACAGCTGGCCTACGCCCTCAGCTACCTGGTGAGCCGCCGCCGCGTCCATCCGGCGTCCGCCTGCATGAGGCCGGCGCGGGGCAGGAGGGCAGCGCCAAGGAGGCCCCGGGCGCGGGGACTTGCGGGACTTTGCTCTAAAGGCAGCGCGTGAGAAGAGCAGGCCGCTCGGAAGGCGGAGTGTGGGCAGCTTCGGGCACTGTCCCTTGGGCTCTGAAGGATGTGTACGAGTTTGCCAGCAGCCTTCTTCCCTGCACCCCGTGTCCTGCCCACTCAGGAGGACAAAGAGCTGCCCCACGGCAACGTGTCCGCGCGGAAGGTGCTGCTGGCTCGGGAAGGGGCGGACGGGAGCCCCCCTTTCATCAAGCTGAGCGACCCCGGGGTCAGCCCCACAGTGCTCAGCCTGGAAAGTACGTGTCAGGGGCGGGGGGGGGGGCGGGGGGCCGACCCGAGGAGCACGCGCCTGAGCCGCCCGGCCCGGCCCTCCCCTCAGTGCTCACCGACAGGATCCCCTGGGTGGCCCCCGAGTGCCTGCAGTGCCCCCGGGAGCCGCAGGCCCTGGGCCTGGAAGCCGACAAGTGGGGCTTCGGCGCCACGGCCTGGGAGGTGTTCAGTGGCGCCCCGATGCCCGTCAGCGCGCTGGAGCCCGCCGAGGTCAGCGGCCAGGCCGGGAGCCTTCGCGTGGCGGGGCGGGCCGGGCGGGGGTTCCCAGGGCGCACCGGGCCCACCGCCCTCCTCCCGCAGAAACTCAGGTTCTACGAGCAGCGGCAGCAGCTGCCGCCGCCCAAGTGGACAGAGCTGGCCTCGCTGATCCAGGAATGCATGGCCTACGAGCCGGGCCGGCGGCCCTCCTTCCGGGCTGTCATCCGGGACCTAAACAGCCTTACCACGTCAGGTCCGCGGGGCGCGCAGGGGGCGGGGCGTGCAGGGAGGCCCCAGTGGGGCAGGGGGCGGGGCACTCCGCGAGGGTGGGGCTCGCAGGGTGGGCGGGGCGCACAGGGGGCGGGGCACTCGGAAGGGCGGGGCGCACAGGGGGCGGGGCACGGGAGGGCGGAGCGCGCAGGGGGCGGGGCGCGCAGGGGGCGGGGCACGGGAGGGCGGGGCGCGCAGGGAGGCCCCGGAGGGTAGGGGGCGGGGCACCCCGGGAGGGCGGGGCGCGCAGGGGGCAGGGCGCGCAGGGGGCGGGGCACAGGAGGGCCCGGAGGGGTAGGGGGCGGGGCACCCCGGGAGGCGGGGCGCGCAGGGGGCGGGGCAGGGAGGGCCCGGAGGGATAGGGGGCGGGGCACCCCGGGAGGGCGGGGCGCGCAGGGGCGGTTCCGGGCAGGGGGCGGGGCACGCAGGGAGGCCCCGCAGGACTAAGCCTCCCGCGTGGAGGATGACGGCCGTGACTTCCCGGTCTATGGGCCGCGGCAGCCGCTGTACCCAAAGCCCCGCACTGAATATAGTGTTGGTCTTGTGTGTCCACACCAGGGCTTGAACTCGGGGCCTGGGCGCTGACCCCGAGCTCCTTTGAGCCACAGCGTCCTTTGGGCTCTTGGGTGGCTAATGGGAGATAAGGGTCACGACTTTGCTGCCGGAGCTGGCTTTGAACCGAGATCCTCCGCGCTCGGCCTCCTGAGTAGCTGGGGCGGCAGGCGTGGACCCGGTTGGAGCTCCTCCTAGTCGGGGGCTGCCGGCCGGCCTCCCCCTCCGCCCCGTCCAGCACGCGTGGCCTGCTGTCCCCGCCAGGATCAGCTCCCCGCAAGCGGCTCTCCGTGCTCCCCCATGCCGTGGGCGGCTGGGGCGGCACCCCCTCAGGGAGGCCCGACTTAGGGTGCTGGGACGGGGCCGCCCCACAGGCCTGCCTCAGGAGACTCTGCCGTCCCGCCCCCAGACTACGAGCTGCTCGCAGACCCCACAGCCGGCGGCCTGGAGCCTCGAGATGGGCTGTGGAGCAGCGCCCGGCTCTACGCCTGCCAGGACCCCACGATCTTCGAGGAGAGACACCTCAAATACATCTCACAGCTGGGCAAGGTGAGGTGGGGACGGCCCCCGGGCGGGGGGGCGGGGCCTGCTGCACGATGAGAGGAGGCTATTGGTAGAGCTGGGAAGATGGGCGGAACTTTGTGGGGTAGTGGGTGTGGCCTGGAAGTGGGCGGGAGTTGTGGATTGGCGGGCGTGGTGTGCGCGGGTGGGCGGGGCTCCCAGGAGCCCACCAGCCGCGCTCTGCCGCAGGGCAACTTCGGCAGCGTGGAGCTGTGCCGCTACGACCCGCTGGGAGACAACACCGGCGCCCTGGTGGCTGTGAAGCAGCTGCAGCACAGCGGCCCGGACCAGCAGAGGGACTTCCAGCGCGAGATCCAGATTCTTAAAGCCATGCACAGCGACTACATCGTCAAGTACCGCGGCGTCAGCTATGGCCCAGGTGGGTGCGGCCGGAGGCCGCAGGGCCCAGGGCCTCGCAGGCGCACCTCTGGCTGCCCCGCGCCGGCCGCCTGTGCTGCTCCACGGTCAAGACTCAGAGGGGCCCGGGCTCGGATCCCGGCTCCGGCCGGGACCCGCACCAGAGCCTCAGTTTCCCCAGTTGATCTTGCTCTGAAGGAGCTGCGCGGGCTGGGGGCGTCCAGCTGTGGACAGCAGCGTGTGTGCTGCTGTTCCCGCGGTAGTGACAGCGCCATCCGAGAGCGACCCTGGGGGTGAGGGAGCGAGCGGGTTTGGGGGCGCACTGACCCCACCCCATCCCCAGGCCGCCAGAGCCTGCGTCTGGTCATGGAGTACCTGCCCAGCGGCTGCCTGCGCGACTTCCTGCGCCGCCACCGCGCCCGCCTCGACGCGGGGCGCCTCCTGCTCTATGCCTCGCAGATCTGCAAGGTGCGGGCGCTGGGGACGGGACGGAGGGAGGTGCGGGGAAGCGGGGCGAGGAGTCCCCGGCCCTGCGGAACCTCACGACGCCCCGCCCCAGGGCATGGAGTACCTGGGCTCCCGCCGCTGCGTACACCGCGACCTGGCTGCGCGCAACATCCTGGTGGAGAGCGAGGCGCACGTGAAGATCGCCGACTTCGGCCTCGCCAAGCTACTGCCGCTCGACAAAGACTACTACGTGGTCCGCGAGCCCGGCCAGAGCCCCATCTTCTGGTAGGGACCCATAGGGCGCCCGCTTAGAGTACCGCCCATCACAGCCATAGCCCCGCCCCTTCCGCAGCTCCTCGGCCTTCTTGTCCCAGCCCCGTCCTCCCCCTTCCGATCCTGCCCTTCAGCGCTGACCCCGCCTCCTCCAGTGAGCTCCCTTTGCTTGCCAGCCCGCCCCAGCCCCTCCCCTACTGCCTCACAGCCTGCCGCTCAGGCCCCGCTCCTAGCGCGGCCACGCCCACAACACATTGGTCACGCCCACGCTGCAAGGGTAGCCCCGCCCACACTGGTTCTGCCCCTCCAAGACCTGAGAAGCCACACCCACAACGCAAGCCCCATTGTCAGACCCCGCCCCTATAACCACGCCCTCTTGGAAAGTGGCCACGCCCCTTCACATAACCCTCTTCCAGCCCTGCCCCTCTCATGCCAGGCATAGCCCACGTCCCCGCTCCGCTCAGGCTGGGCCCGGAGGCAGCTCAGGGTGAAGCCTGGCCGCTCCGGACACTGAGCCCAGTGCTGACCATGGCTGCGCCCGGCCCAGGTACGCGCCCGAGTCCCTGGCGGACAGCATCTTCTCACGCCAGTCCGACGTCTGGAGCTTCGGGGTCCTGCTGTACGAGCTGTTCACCTACGGCGACAAGAGCTGCAGCCCCTCGGCTGTGAGTGGGCAGGGGCCCCTCGCGTGCGCGCCCCGCCCCGCCGGCCCCGCCCTCTCCCCGGCCCCGCCCCGCCCACAGGCCACACCCTCTCCCCGGCCCCGCCCCCTCTCCGTCCGCAGGCCCCCGCCCCTCTCCCTGGCCCCGCCCCGCCATCAGGCCCCGCCCCTCTCCCCGGCCCCGCCCACGGCCCTCCCCGACGCCAGCCCCTCCTCCAGGAGTTCCTGCGCATGATGGGGTGCGAGGGCGACGCCCCGGCGCTCTGCCGCCTGCTGGACCTGCTGTCCGAGGGCCGCAGGCTGCCCGCGCCCCCTGCCTGCCCTTCCCAGGTGAGCGATGCCGCCGGGCTGGCCTCAGTTTCCCCGGGATCCCCGCCCCGGACGCGCAGTGTGTCCAGGCCCTGGGGTGCGGAAGCGGAGGGCGGAAGGGGCGGGACTGGCCGCTCCGCCTCGGGGCGGGTGGGCCCCGGCGGGGCATCGGGCGTCCCGGCCAAGACCCGTGTCCGTCCCCAGGTCCACGAGCTCATGCGGCTGTGCTGGGCGCGCGCCCCGCAGGAGCGGCCAAGCTTCGGCGCCCTGCGCCCGCGGCTGGACGCGCTGTGGAGCGGGGCCCCGGGGTGAGGAGAGGGCGGGGTGAGGGGGGCGGGGTGAGGAGGGGGCGGGGTGAGGATGGGGCGGGGTGAGGAGGGGCGGGGTGAGGAGGCGGGGTGAGGAGGGGCGGGGTGAGGAGGCGGGGTGAGGAGGGGCGGGGTGAGGAGGGGCGGGGTGAGGAGGGGCGGGGTGAGGAGGCGGGGTGAGGAGGGGCGGGGTGAGGAGGCGGGGTGAGGAAGGGCGGGGTGAGGGGGGCGGGGTGAGGAGGCGGGATGAGGAGGCGGGGTGAGGAGGCGGGGTGAGGAGGGGGCGGGGTGAGGAGGGGGCGGGGTGAGGAGGGGCGGGGCGAGGAGGCGGGGTGAGGAGGGGCGGGGTGAGGAGGGGCGGGGTGAGGAGGCGGGGTGAGGAAGGGCGGGGTGAGGGGGGCGGGGTGAGGAGGCGGGATGAGGAGGCGGGGTGAGGAGGCGGGGTGAGGAGGGGGCGGGGTGAGGAGGGGGCGGGGTGAGGAGGGGCGGGGCGAGGAGGCGGGGTGAGGAGGGGCGGGGTGAGGAGGGGCGGGGTGAGGAGGCGGGGTGAGGAGGGGCGGGGTGAGGAGGGGCGGGGTGAGGAGGCGGGGTGAGGAGGGGCGGGGTGAAAAGGCGGGGTGAGGGGGCGGGGTGAGGAGGCGGGGTGAGGAGGGGGCGGGGTGAGGGGGGCGGGGTGAGGAGGGGGCGGGGTGAGGAGGGGGGCGGGGTGAGGAGGGGCGGGGTGAGGTGGGGCGGGGTGAGGAGGGCGGGGTGAGGAGGGGCGGGGTGAGGAGGGGCGGGGTGAGGAGGGGCGGGGTGAGCGGGGTGAGGGGGCGGGGTGTGGAGGGCGGGGTGAGGGGGGTGAGGGTCGGGAGATGCCCCCCTCCCGCCCGCTCCCCTCCCACCACCGCTCCCCCGCGCCACGCCCCCTCCCGCCCGCGGCTGCCGCCCGCATCGGGGCCCCTCCGGAGGCGATGTGAGGACCTCGGTTCGAAGCCGGCCAGGGCGTGAACGTCCGTGAGGCTCATCTCCAGTGAGCCACGCAGAGCAAGCCACAGGCGGCGCCGAGGCTGCAGCGGCAGAGCGCCTGCCTGGCGCCGGAGAGGCTCCGGGACAGCGCCCGGGCCGAGAGTTCAAACCCCGCCTCCGACCAACAAACCCAGCAAAGAAGCGCGAGGAGCGCGGACGGCGGACGCGGGGAAGAGCGCGGAGCGGCTGGGAAACGCGGGCGGACGCCGCGGGGCAGGAGCGAGGCGCCTTCTCCGGCCTGTCTTCGTTTTCTGCTGGCCCGGGATCGTCACCCCGACCCCGCGCTCGTCTGCGGGAAGGCTGCTGGGGGGCGGGGCAGAACCCTGATAGCGTGCGGGCTCGGCGCCGAGCCCGGCTGGACACGGAGGGCGGCGAACTCGCGGGCGGAGATGCGGGGCGGGAGCCGGAGGGGCGGGGGAGACGCGCGGCACGAGCCGCGGGAGGTCACCGGTCTGCGTCACCGGGAACAAGGAGGTCACTAAACAAGACCGCACCTGTGGACAGATTGCGGGGACGCGTGGGGCGGGGCCTGCGCGAGCTGCTGCCTGGTGGGGGGGGGCACGTGGGCTCTGGGACTCTGGAGATGCAGGGGGGGCCTCTGGGGCGCGGGGGCTCTGGGACGCGGGCGCTCTGGGACTCTGGGGCCGCGGGGGCTCTGGGGCGCGGGGGCTCTGGGGCGGGGGGGGGGGGGGGCTCTGGGGCGCGGGGGCTCTGGGGCGCGGGGGCTCTGGGGCGGGGGGGGGGCTCTGGGGCGCGGGGGCTGTGGGGCGGGGGGGCTCTGGGGCGGGGGGGGGGCTCTGGGACTCGGGCCGCGGGGGCTCTGGGGCCACGGGGGCTCTGGGGCGCGGGGGACTCGGGGGCGCGGGGGCTCTGGGGCCACGGGGGCTCTGGGACTCTGGGGCCACGGGGGCTCTGGGGCCACGGGGGCTCTGGGGCGCGGGGGACTCGGGGGCGCGGGGGCTCTGGGGCCACGGGGGCTCTGGGGCGCGGGGGCTCTGGGGCGCGGGGGCTCTGGGGCGCGGGGGACTCGGGGGCTCTGGGACTCTGGGGCCACGGGAGCTCTGGGGCGCGGGGGCTCTGGGGCGCGGGGGGCTCTGGGGCGCGGGGGGCTCTGGGGCGCGGGGGACTCTGGGCCGCGGGGACTCTGGGCCGCGGGGGCTCTGGGGCGCGGGGGGCTCTGGGGCGCGGGGGACTCTGGGGCGCGGGGGCTCTGGGGCGGGGGGGCTCTGGGGCGCGGGGGACTCTGGGGCGCGGGGGCTCTGGGGCGCGGGGGGCTCTGGGCCGCGGGGGCTCTGGGGCGCGGGGGGCTCTGGGCCGCGGGGGCTCTGGGGCGCGGGGGACTCTGGGCCGCGGGGGGCTCTGGGGCGCGGGGGGCTCTGGGGCGCGGGGGCTCTGGGGCGCGGGGGGCTCTGGGGCGCGGGGGACTCTGGGGCGCGGGGGCTCTGGGCCGCGGGGGACTCTGGGCCGCGGGGGCTCTGGGACTCTGGGGCGCGGGGGGCTCTGGGACTCGGGGGCTCTGGGGCGCGGGGGGCTCTGGGGCGCGGGGGGCTCTCGGGCTTCTTGTCGGCCGGGGACCGCGCTGGCCCGAGGCGCGCGCTCTGCGTGAGTGGTGCGGAGGACTCGAACCCGGGCCTCACGCGTGCCTGGCGCGCGCTCCGCCGCGAGCGGCCTCCCGGCCGGGCGGCCCCATGAGCCGGGTGGAGAGGGGGAGCGCGCGGCTTCCCCGTGAGCGGTCCGGGCAGTCGTGGGAGGGCGGGGCGGAGCCGGGGCTGGGGTCGGGGGTCAGGGTCGGGCCTCTCGGGCCGCAGCTGCCGGCCTTGGCTCCTGGCCGCGGGCTGCGCCCCAGGGGCGGCGAAGGGAGCGCGCGCTGCGGGGGTCAGAGGGCAAGGCCGGGTTTGGGGAGCCGGCTGGGGGGGGCGGGGCGACCAGCCGGGAAAACGTGGAGAGACGGAGGACACGGCCGGGAGGGTCGGACAGACGGACAACAGACACGGCAGGGAGAGGGAAACTGAGGCAGGGGAGGGCGCGGCGGCGCGGGCATCCCCGCGTGGGCATCCCGGGCCACGCCACGCAGCCTCAGTTTCCCTGCTGGGCAAAGGACCCGCGAGCCGCCCTCCCCGCCCCCGTCCGCCCCCGCCGCTGCCCGCGCGGAGCCCGGCCCCGAACCCCCGCCCCGGCCGCGGGCGCCGCCCTCCCCGCCCCAAGGCCGCGGCCCGCGCTCCTCGGCGCTATAAAGGGCGCCGGGCCGCACTCGGCACCGAGCACCGCACACCCGGACCGGCGCCATGCACCGCGGGCTGCTGCTGCTGCTGTTGCTACTGCTCCCGGCCCCGCGACCCGCACGCGCGGGCGCGCCGGCGGCGCGGGAGCGGCTGTGCGGGCACCGCCTGGTGCGCGAGCTCGTGCGCGTGTGCGGGGCCCCGCGCTGGTCCCCCGAGGCGGGTGGCGTCGGTGAGTGCGGGGGAGGGGAGGAGCGGGCCGGGGCGGCGGGCTGTCCCCGGCCCCCGCTGACCCCCGCATCCACAGGGCAGCCGCTTCCGGAGCCCCGCGCGCCCGGTGTCCCCGAGCCCGGCCGCCGCCGCCGCCGCGCCGCCGCCGGCCTCCCGCACCGCTGCTGCGTCCTCGGCTGCGCCCCGGAGGACCTCGCGGGGTTCTGCCCGCGCTGACCGCCCGACCCCGCCGGCCCCCGCCGCCCCTTAGCCCCGAACACCAAATAAAGTGGCAGAGCAGCTCCTGTGTGTGTTTTGGAAGGTTCCGCACCCGCAGCCCCTCTGCCGGATGGTTCTGCCCCTCCCCCCGCTGGATGCTAAGTCCCCATGAGACCAAGTGGGGAAACTGAGGCAAGGAGCGGGCCGGGCCGGCCAGCAGGCGACCTCAGCGCCGGTGAGCCCCAGCCCTCCCACCCCCAGCTCGTCCTGCCCCAGGACCTTTGCCTGTGCTGCCCGGGCTCCCCTCGCCGCGCAGCCCTGGTCTCTCTTCCCACCGCCTGCTTTTTTTTTTTTTTTTTTGGTCCGGTCGTGGGGTCTGATCTCTGGGCCTGGGCGCTGTCCCTCAGCTCTTCAGCTCAAGGCTAGCGCTCTACCACTGAGCCAGCTTCCCAGCCCCCCACCGCCTGCTTCTGACTCCCACAGGGAGGCGGGAGGGGGGGGGTGCGGCACAGGGAGGGGCCAAGGTCCCCACGGAGCTTGCACCGGTCCAGCCAGCCGCCAGCGCCCCAGACCCCCCCACCAGGCCGCCCGGGCCCCCCCAGGCCGCCCCGGCCCCCCCGGGCCCTCCCCCCAGGCTCCCCCAGGCCGGACTTGTGCAGGAAGCGGCCGTTTCATTTTCGTTGTCGGTGGTAGTCTTGAACTTGGGGCCGGCGCTGCTCCTCAGCTCCAGGCAGCCTCTACCACGTGGCCCACTTCCGGCTTCTGGTGGCTCATTGGAGAGTCTCACGGCCTTTCCTGCCCAGGCTGGCTTCGAACCTGGGCCTCCTGAGCGGCCGGCGGTAGGAGCCTCTTCGCCCCGCGGGCGTCCCACCCCAGCAGCCCGGCTCCACTTCCGGCTGTGTGTGCGGAGGACTCGAGCCCGCGCCTCTGGACGGTGGGCCGCACGGCCTTTGTTAACGCAGACAGGACAATGGCTTTTATTGAACGCGCATGCAGGACCCGGCCCGGCCGCTCCCTGAGTGTGGAGGCTGCCGTGGGGGGGGGGGGGTGTCGGGGGCCGCCGTGGGGGGGTCGGGGGCCGCCGTGGGGGGTGTCGGGGGCCGCCGTGGGGGGGTCGGGGGCCGCCGTGGGGGGGGGGTCGGGGGCCGCCGTGGGGGGGTCGGGGGCCGCCGTGGGGGGGGGTCGGGGGCCGCCGTGGGGGGGGTCGGGGGCCGCCGTGGGGGGGGGGTCGGGGGCCGCCGTGGGGGGGTGTCGGGGGCCGCCGTGGGGGGGGTCGGGGGCTTCACCCCGCCGGCCTCCAGCGCGAGCCTGGATGGGGCTGCCACGCGGAGGGGGCCCCACGAGCACCACCGCGGGGGGCGCCGCCGGGGAGGGCGGCCTCAGTAGACTTGGGCCCGGCGGCCGCAGGCCACGTCGGGGCGGCTCAGCGCGTCCCACATGAGCAGCATCTCGTAGGGCAGGAAGCGGTGCACCAGCAGCAGCTCGCGGTAGAAGCAGGGGTCGAAGGAGGAGAGGCGCGGGGCGGGGGCGCGCAGGCCGGCCATGCGCACGCCGCCGTGCGCCGCGGGCCGCAGCCCCGCGCGCTGCAGGCACATGCCCAGGAAGACGTCGTCGATGGGGAAGAGCGGCAGCGCGGGCGCCTCGCGGCGCAGCGCGCGGCCGGTGAACCGCGACAGCAGCAGCCCGCCGCCGCCGCAGTAGGGCGGGTAGCGCTCCTCGGCCGTCAGCAGCCGCGGCACGAAGTACTTGCTCCAGGGCGCGCGGACCGGGCCCACGTTCTGGATGAGGTGGCCCACGAACAGGTGGCGGTCGGGGTCCTGGCCAAGCAGGTAGGCCACCATGTTGTTCGTGTGCGCGAACACGTCGTCGTCGCCGTTGAGCACGAAGCTGGCGTTGGTGCACCGCGCCTCCTGCCAGCGCAGGAACAGGACCTGCGGAGGGCGGGGCTGAGGACGGGCCCGCCCACCGCCACACCTCGTTCCCGCCCACCCCAACTCAGGCTCTGCCCCAGCAATGATTGGCTCCCCATGGCCCCGCCCCTCACACGACCCCGCCCATCGTGGTGTCTGGCTCCCCCTCTGCCCCGCCCACCTCCTTCCCTGCCTATCTTCTCTGTCTGCCCTACCATGGGCTCCTCCTCTGACTCAACCCTACCACGGGTCCCTTTATACTTGTCTCTTGCTTTGCCTTATCATTGGCTCCACCTCCGACCCCACCCATCGCCTCTGCCTCTGTCCTACCCCACATCTTGCCCCACCCATCGCAATCTGGCTCTGCCTTGCCATTGGCTTTCCTCTGCCCTACCATTGATTGGCTTCACCTCCGCCCCGCCCCAACTCTCACTCATTTGACTATGCCCAACCATTGGCTCCGCCTCTGGCCCAGCTACTGCCTTCCCTTCCCCTGGCCCCGCCCCGCCTCTGGCCCAGCTACTGCCTTCCCTTCCCCTGGCCCCGCCCCGCCTCTGGCCCTGCTACTACCTTCCCTACCCCTGGCTCCGCCCCATCCCTGTCCTATTGGCTCTGGCCCTGCCTGGCCCAACTCTGGCCACGCCCCCAGAGGAATCCCAGCCTGGGGCGCCATGATTCTCCAAAAACAAATAAGCGGCAGACTCCCGAGCCTCAGTGTGGGGACCGGCTGGGCCGGCCTCCGGAGGGAGGGCCGCCCTCCGCGGGGACACTCACAGCTGCGCCCACCTGCTTGAGCGTGAGGTTGAAGAAGGAGTCGTGGAAGTCCCACTGCAGCACGTCGCCGTGCGCATGCGCCTCCAGCTCCAGCAGCCGGTCCACCTTGCGGGCCTGGTGCGGGTCGGGCTCGGTGCCCACGAGGAAGAGGCGGCGCAGGGCGGCGCCCCGCACCTGGCGCTCGCGGCCCCAGGTCTGCCGCACGAGCTGGCGCCGCTCGTAGTTGCGGGGCGCGGACTTGATGGCCAGCAGCAGGAACACGGGCCCCGCGCACTTGCCGGGCGCCGCGTCCTGCAGCAGTGTGAAGTCGCGGCAGTGCCGGTACAGCAGGAAGTTGCGCACGTGCGCGGGCTGCGCCGCGAAGTCCGGGTGCCGCGCCACCGAGGCGTTGGGCGCGCAGGGCGCGGGTGGTGGCGCGCGGGGCGCGCGGGGTGGCGCGGAGCGTGCGGGCGGCGCCTCTTCTGGGGCGGCGCAGCGGCGCGCGGTGTGCAGCCGCGCCAGGGCCAGCAGCACGCAGGCACACAGGGCCAGGGCCAGCGCTAGGCCCGGGCCCACGCCGGGCCGCAGCAGCCGGGGGCACCGCATCTGGCCTGGGTCCGCGGGTCCTGCGGAGAACAGTGCCTGTCGCATGGTGTCTCTCGGCAAACTCCTATGCCCCCCTAAGCCCATCCCCACTCCCCAGGGAACTCCTACGCGACCCTCAATGCCCCAGCTGCAATGCCCCTCGCATGGGCGGGCCCAGAATTTTCTGGCTGGAGTGGAGGTCGGGGAGGGGCCGTGTCCCACTGCTGTGGGTGTTCCGGGGGGGTCAGGTTGGGGTACCGGCCTGGCCACTCACCTCAGGCGACCTGGGGTCTGGGTCCCGCCTGTCCTCCGTCCCCTCGCGGCACCCAGCGTGCTGTGGGGATGGACAGTGAGTCCAGTGTGGACCCATGGTCACCCAGGGAAATGGGGGTACAGTGGGGTCCAGGGGCCCCTGGCTGCAGTGCGGGCTGGGGCCCAGGCCCTCCGCCGGCCGGGCGGGGCTGCCCGGGGCTGTCCACCCTTCCTCAGGTCCGCTGCTGCCCGACCTGTTGATTTCCTCCAGGAAAAGCCTCTTGTCTTTTGCTGGCCGGGGCCCAGGAGCCTCCCCAGGCCGCAGGTGGCGACGCCCTGGCCCCGACCCTCACCCCATTCTGCCCCTGCTCCAGGCCCCTGTCCAGCCCGCCGGGCCGCGCCCGCTGGGGCGCTGGGCGGGGCCTGAGGTTGGGAGGCCCCTGCGGCCGGCTGAGGACGGTGGGGGAAATCCGGGCCCAGGGCTGCGGCCCGGACCCCAGGCAGCGCCGAGGCGGCTCCGCGGGATGAACGGGATGTTCGGGCGTCGACAGGAACGCCAGCAACACGCTTCTAGACCTGCCTCGGTGGCCCTTAATGACCCTGTGAATATTCATGACCCAAGGCCGCCGCCTTCTGGGCCCCAACGGGCCCCAGGGACACTGGCTTCAGCCCCGAAGATTCTGGAGCCATCCGACCTTCTGCCAAGTCAGGGGCTCACCCGGCGCTGCCCCATCCGGGTCTCCGGACGGCCGGGAGCCTTGAGAGAACAGGGCAGGGTCCAGGCCTCGAGGGGCAGCTCCGGGGCGGGCTGCATGTCGGTTGCAGGGTGGGTCGCTTTACGAGGGCCCGAGGGCCGTGCGGGCTCCATAAACCCGCCGAGGGGCCCAGGCACGGGAGGGCCGCGGCCCCGCCCTGCAGACCGGCTTCCTGGTTCTTGGGCAGCATTTCCGCGTGGATGCTGAGGGCCGGCTCCGCCCCTCCTGCAAGCCCCGCCCTCCCTATCTGCAAGCCCCGCCCCATCTGCAAGGCCCCGCCCAGGGTCCTGGCCTGTCAGCAGATCGCACTCCGCCCCCAGCAAGGCCCCGCCCCTCCTGCAAGCCCCGCCCTCCCCACCTGCAAGCCCCGCCCTCCCCACCTGCAAGCCCCGCCCCAGGGTCCTGGCCTGTCAGCAGATCCCACTCCGCCCCCATCACAGGCCCCGCCCCCAGGCAGCTGGACTGTCGATAGGCCCCGCCCTCACCGGCAGGGCCACGCCCCCTCCACAGCTGCGCCCCCACACGTCCCACCGCAGCCTGCGGGGTCCGGCCTCTGCCGGCTCCGCGTCCCCAGGCCTCCTTCCCCGTCCCTTCCACGACCTCCCCCTTCCCCCCCCCCCCCCCGTCAGCAGGGCCCCCACCCCTCGTCCTGGCCAGATGGGACCCCGAGCCTGGGAAGGCAGCTGGGCTTCCCAGCCGCCCGAAGCCCTTCCCTGTGCACTCCCTGGCTCGGAACTTCCGGGTCCCCACCCCGTCCAGCCGCTGCGGCCAGTAAATTCGGTCAAGAAAGATTAATGTCAGGAATGTAATGTAACGAGCTGTGTAATCAGGAAGAGCAAACACACCGGATCACGCCTGCAACCGCCACCCAGCACGGGAGCTGGCTCCAGCCATTTCTACCCGGAGGGAAACTGAGGCACTCAGCGGCCAGCTCCTGCAGGGGGCGGAGGAGCCGCAGCCACCACCGCCCCCGGCGGGTCCTTCAGGCTGTCCCCTGGTAAGGAGCTCCCCACAAGAGGCGACCCTAGACTCCCGGTGGGAAGGCGGCGCAGGGCGGCCCCGACCTGGGCCCCGACCCCGGCTCCAACCCGGCCCCGGCCCCGGCTCCGGCTCCAACCCGGCCCCAGCCTCGGCCCCGGCCCCGACCTCGGAACTGACCCCGACCCGGCCCCGGCCCCGGCTCCAACCCGGCCCCCAGCCTCGGCCCCGACCCCGACCTCAGCCCCGACCCCAGCCTCGGCCCCGGCCCCGGCCCCGACCTCAGCCCCGACCCCAGCCCCGGCCCCGGCCCCGGCCCCGGCTCCAACCCGGCCCCCAGCCTCGGCCCCGGCCCCAGGCCCCGACCTCGGAACCGACCCCGACCACGACCCCGGCTCCGACCCGGCCCCCGGCCCCGGTTCCCCGCTCGGCCCCCAGACTCGACCTCGGCCCCGACCCTCGACCCCCGGGCGCCCGCAGGTCCCCGTCCTACGCGGGGCCTCAGGGCCCCGGCTGCTTTGGGCCGGGGCCGGAGCCGACCTCCCGGGGTCGCGGGGCCGGTCCTCCTGGGGATGACGGGCGCGGGGGAGGCCGGGCGGGGGCAGCTCTGCCCTCTGCCCCTCACTGCACCGCCCGCGCCGGGGTCACAGCCGGCGCAGGAAGTGGCCCTGACCTCCGGGCGCGACCCCAGGTCGGCCCGGCCCACCCGGGGGGCAGAGCCAGGAGGTTCCGGGCTCGAGGCCAGCCCAGGGAGCCCCAGCCCCGAGGAAGAAAAGAAGGAAAGGACGATGTGCCCGGGGAACAGGCGACGCCGGCGGCGCCCCGACTGACCAGCCCGCGCGCCCTGGAGGGAAGCTGAGGCTGAGACTGCACAGATGCGCGTCCTGCCCCCAACCACAGTTGGGACGAAGCCGGCACCGCCGCCCGCAGACCCCGCCCTGAGCCCCGCCAAGCCCCGGGCCGGGACGCTCCGCGCGGCGAACCCCGCGCCGGCCCCCCGAGTCCCGCTCCCCGGCTCCGCTCCCACCCGCGGCCACTCACCACGCGACGTCCCGCCTCTGAGGCTCCCGGGAGCGGTCAGAAAGTTTTCACCTGGACCGAGCCCCCGCCTCCCACCGGCTCCTTCCTTCCTGCAGCCCTCCCACCTCCTGCCCGCCCTCGCCGCCCGCGGGCCTCCTTCCAGCCGCGCCGCGGAGCTCGAGTCCCGGACTGGCTCACCGCGCCACGCCCCCGGCCCACCCACTCCATGCTGTCTCCCTACGGCCCTGCCCTGAACGCCCCGCCCCCTTATAGACTCGCACGCCGCGCCCCGCCCCGGACACCCCCACTCCCTGCTGATTCCCTACAGCCCTGGCCCATAAGCCCCGCCCATCTCCCTAGACCTGCTCGCCGCGCCCCGCCCCGCGCCACGCCCACTCCATGCAGTCTTCCTACAGCCCTGGCCCATAAGCCCCGCTCCTCGGGTCGAATCGCTCACCGCGCCACGCCCACGACAACGACCACTCCCTGTGGTTTTCCCGCAGCCCTGGCCCTTAAGTCCCGCCCCTCTCCTAGACACGCTCGTCACGCCCCCAGCCACGCCCACTCTATCTTCTGGCAACCCCTGGTTCGTAAGCTCGGCCCACTGGCCGTCCAGGCCACGCCCCCAGGGGCTGTACCCAATCCAAGCCTCGGCCCGCCCTCTCCCGGCCACGCCCCTCCCTCGCCAGTCTGCCGCGCGAGCCGGAGCCTCTCACCTGCCCGCCCAAGGTACCGGCTGTGCGGAGCGCCTGAGGCCGGTGGGACCGGCGGGTCCTCCTCCACAGGGCCGCAGGCATTCCCGGCCCCCAACCTGCCTACATCCCGGCCCCGCTGGGTGCGGGCTGGGCGCGTGCGGGCTCTGCGCCCCGCCCCGCGCCCCAGGCGCTCCCGCAGCCCAGCTTGACCTGCTGGCTGCCCCTCGCTGCCCCGCGCCCCGCTGGGCCCGAGCACGCGGCCGGTTCGGTCGGTGCAGGGCGTCTTGAACTTTGTTCGGAGCCCATCCACCCACGGAGCCCGCCCCTCACAGGCGCCAGGACCCGCGCCTCTCCCGGCCCCGCTGCCCACCGCCCCGCAGCTCTGCGGGCGGCAGCCAAGGCGCTGCTGGGAAAAGGATGCGGCGAGCCAGGCAGGCCGAGGCGCGGGGAGACTCCCGCCCGAGGCGGGGCTGCCTGCAATTAAACCATTAAAAGAGGAGGTCGCCCGCCAACGCCCGGACCCCGCAGGTGACCCCGCCCTGGGCCCCGCGCCGGGGCGGGCGGGGGAGGGGAGGGCCCTCGGGAGGCCGCCGTCACCGGGCAGCGCCGGGCGACGCCAGGCTCCGGGGCAGCGATAAGCCGGACCAGAGCGACCGCAGAGCTGCTGCGGGGGGGGGGGGGGAGGGGGGAGGGCGGGGGGAGAGGGAGCCTCCCCACCTCTCCCCAGGGAGTCGGGAGAGCTTCTGAAGATGGCTCTGATAACCGGGCTCTGGCGGCCCGACCCGGCTCTGGCTCCCCCCCTCCCCGCCCTCGGCTCCGGTCCCCCCCCCAGCTCCTACACCCCCCCAGCTCCTACACTCCCCCCCCCCCCGCCCAGCTCCTACACCCCCCCGCCCAGCTCCTACACCCCCCCGCCCAGCTCCTACACCCCCCCGCCCAGCTCCTACACTCCCCCCAGCTCCTACACCCCCCCAGCTCCTACACCCCCCTGCCCAGCTCCTACACCCCCCCAGCTCCTACACCCCCCCAGCTCCTACACCCCCCTGCCCAGCTCCTACACCCCCCCCCGCCCAGCTCCTACACCCCCCCCCCCCGCCCAGCTCCTACACCCCCCCCCGCCCAGCTCCTACACCCCCCCAGCTCCTATACCCCCCCCCGCCCAGCTCCTACACCCCCCCCCGCCCAGCTCCTACACCCCCCCCCCGCCCAGCTCCTACACCCCCCCAGCTCCTACACCCCCCCCGCCCAGCTCCTACACCCCCCCCGCCCAGCTCCTACACCCCCCCAGCTCCTACACCCCCCCAGCTCCTACACCCCCCCTGCCCAGCTCCTACACCCCCCCCCCGCCCAGCTCCTACACCCCCCC